CATTTTATATAAAGCAGTGTGAGAGGCTTCCCTTTTCCAGAACACTTTATGACACGGTGCAGGGTATGAGCTGGTATGTGTGCACACACATGGTATTCATGTTGTTTAACACTTATAGTTTGGTTATGGAGCTCGTTTGTGTTTTCATATCGCATTCAATTCCCTAAATGACCTATTTTTCCAGATCACAAACTCTTTCCCGTTGTTGATATGTCGAGACTCTATCCAACTACATGTAGATGTCATACTTCAACTAAATCTAAAACTGTCAATGACTGTATATATAATCTTACAAATTGTGACTTGACTGATCATACACGATTTTACCCTGAATTTTGAGGGTCCTGGTTTAGAGCTCACTCAGACACCACGGAAACAAGGACGAAACCAACGCCCACGCCTAATAAACCAAAATGTTCTCCTCTCTCACCAGCTTTGTTTGTCATGGTGGTGCCTCTGATGTCTGACTTTCTCAACTATTTGTAGCGTTATCGACACTGCCAGTGTCAATGCCCACGAAGAACCGCAACCAAAATGGTAGACAATCATGAAGGGAGTTGAGAGAGCTTTGATCAATTAACAGTTTAAGACAGTATATTAGTGAAAGAAATCAAATAACTGCTGTTGTTGCTATAGTCACAGCGCTATTGTTTTCTCATTTAACGCACTCGTCACTTCACAAATGATCTTGTCAGTTTTACTTCCATACTTGAAGAGCTCACAGCAAGACGAACATTTGCTATATGACTGTCATGTGTGTGTCTGCCTGGAGGCTCATATGATAAACATGTTTACACAACTATGAGGATACGGACCCAAGATTGAGACTATGCCGCTCCTGTCTTTACAAGCACACTGCACTTGTTGCATGGATGTATTGTTATAAATTGAAACAATAAGCTAGCCAAGACACCTGTACGCAACAGAATTCAGTGTGAAACAAACAACAACAAAATAACAAGTGTATCATAAAAATAACTAGGTTTACAAATCAATACAAATTACTGCAAACTTATTACAATGGCAGTACACAATAGAGTGGCAGTACAATTTCAATGGCATGATAAAATACAAGAGCAGTGGTAATAGCAATAAAGTCAGTGATAATAATATGCACCTAGTAGCAACAGTGGTCAATCTTACAAACTAGGTCTAGGCTGGATAGCTAGGGTGACAATATGATTTTCACACAACGTATGTGTTATTACCTCCTTTTAAATGAATTATTATTCTAAATAAACTGCCCAGCAAAAGGAAATATTCATCAATCTTGGTGGTAGCTAAAACTGGAACAAACAAGAAATGGTTATTCGATGATGGTGTATTGGGTGCGGGTAGCTACAATTCAATGAGGATCTCACAACAGGTGCAGGGCACATAACGTCTCAAGGAACATGGGGGTCGCAGTTTCATAGCACGCAGAGCGAATATGACCACAGCGAGCACCAATGCACGAGCAGGCTTGCTGTCTCATCGATGTCGTCAGCCGCCCGATGGGGTCATGGGGAACCCGTTGACACTCGTTCCTCAGTGTGTTTGAAGAACGTCACCCCTTGATATCTTGCCGTTGGTATTGCCACGAATACGGATGATGACAATTTCAACGTGGTCTGCCAGGTCTTGCCCTGTCCTGTGTACTGCCAGTATGTCTCTAACGTTGAACGATCAGACGATGGTTGCACATGTCCAGTTGGTGTTTCTTTGGCACCCATTTGCCTCATTACTTCCTACGGTCCTCTCTCTCTCCCTCTCTCTCTCTCTCTCTCTCTTTGCTGTGCACTTAAACGTGACATTTATTCTGTGCTTTTCCATTAACTGTGATGTTTTGGCAAAGATCGATTGCATGTTTAATCATTTCCGCGTGTGCTTTCTTAACCGGTGCCTGAAAAAAAGTGAACTATTTTTCACTTCTGCCATTCGTGTTTTGGATCTTAAATTTGCAGAGTTTCGGCAACTGTTTTCAGTCCGGTAAGGTTTTGATAACGTTCGTAATATTGTCCCAATTTTCAAGTGTATACTCTCTTTTGCCCAGGAATTTACTATATTGAAAATATGTTTAGAATTTAGAATAAACCGGAACACGCGAATGAATCTGGTAGGAATGTCCCGTTGTTCCCAAGTTGGTCATGTCCAGAGCGAGATTACCAGACCACCCTCTCTGACAGGTCCTACTTCACTGATGTCCGAGCCTCATTCTCACTGTTGACAAATACGATATCAAATGCTAAAAGGCCTCGGGCAGTGTACGGTATAATAATGTCCTGTATTTATTTGTATTTGGTACTGGTAATTCCTGCTGCCCTTTCCTCGTGTTCATCAGAGAATCACACACAGGCTGATAGTACAATACGAGAACATTTTCGTGGCCTAAAGGTTTATTCAGCATATAGGCCATACGGCCAAAAGTACAGATACTATACCATGAGAATGTCAGCATCGAGTTAGGTTGTGGGAGTACAGTCTTTAACACAATATAGGTATAGTTAAAGCAGTAGCTGGTAATTACAATATACCATGGTATACTATTTAAGCCTTTCTAAACGTCTTTTAGGGAACAAAATAAAAAAATATGTCGACTTTAAGAAATGTATGAGGCATTCATAAAATAGTCTTCAGAAAGTAATCATGAGAAGTTGTGTTTCTTGAAGCATTTATAAAATCCCCATTTGAGCCATCGCAACTGAAATACATATTGTCATGAACAGAGTTACTGATTGATTAAGTGTACATTGCTTGATTGTAGAATATTAATAATTGTTCAGTAAGTATCTGTTTTGAAACACGGAATATTCCTTATATTTTAATAGAACATGGTGTTCAGACAATCACATTTTTTTACTTTTTACATATTTCTTCTTCTATGTAGATTTATCTTAAAGCTATGGATTGATATTCTTGATTTACACAGTGCTCTACATTATTAATGATCTGTCCTCTGAATGAATGACACGTCGGATACATTCCACAATTAAGTTAATCGATCGATAGTCTGTGTGATATGGTGTGTGATCTTGGGATATAACTTATTAAAATGATTGGCTCTCACTTAACATTAATTTTGGAACCTTTCGAGAGTGAAGGCCAAATATTATATGTTGTCGCAAGGTCCATTTATTGACATCCAGTGACGCAATACATGGATCAATGATGAGCAACGGTCGCTGTACAGAGGAAGGAATGTGTAAATATCTGGATCAGTATCGATAGGAATGCTTTATACAATATTACGGCTCTCTTCGTGCAAGATATGTCTGAGTTGTTGTTTCGGTTGCATATTTATTTCCGTCTACCGATTGTGAAGCCGCCCAAGACAAATCGTGAACTTTGTGGACAACTACAACGCATATCAATCGTTAATTTACGTGTACCAGTCTGTGACCTGGTAGCGGAACTTATGTCAGATATTTAGGAGATAAACCTACTGTGTTTTGAAATATGACGTAGTCCTACTGTAGATTATATATCTTTTATTTTACTTTGGAACCTATAAGGAAATAGGAAAATGGATACCTCTTTTTAACCAATAAAGGCCAAGTCAAAGAATAAAGTCTAATGCCATATACTACACTCATACTTCACTCATACTACAAGAGGGTGCTTTTAATTTCGAGTGGTAAAATTACGTTGGGGGAAAACAGTGATATGGAAACGTGATTTACCTACTAATAAATTGTTTATTATACAGTATTGATGTTGGTTATTCATGCAATGTGTTCACAGGTCATTTAATTCTGATCATTTCAGTATCTCATAGCCCCCTGGTCATTGGTTCTAATTAGACTTGAATGCGGACCGGCCGACAGCAGAGGTCCTCCCTATCGCGAGTTTACCGTTGTTGAGCTTATTTGTAATAGGTGATAAGTTACCCACCCGTGTGTAGAAACTGCCAGCTATGGCTACGATACCTTCCGGGAGTCCTGATCAGGAACCCAAACAAACGTGCATGTACCTTCCACATAGACATAGGCTTGTGCTCAACATACAAGGACAACATTAGTGACAAACTGTACAAAACCCCAAACAACCGTGACCGTGAAATATCTTATGATAGTTTAGGATAGTTTTTACATAGGTTGCTTCTTAGAGACTATCTGCATATAGCATAGCAAACATAGGAATCATTATTTAACAGCGCAAACACTGAACTGATCGTGATAGCCCGTGCAGGAAAACACTATAGAAACCACTTCCTCACTGAAACTGATTGTACAGGTTGTATTTGCGTGTTGTTTCACATGTAAATAATTCAGTGACAGATACCGTTACACATTAACCTGGGTCGACCGGCGGTCATTCAAACAATACAAGTTACTTGAAAGATATTCTCTGTGTCAATCTAGTAAAAAAGCCTATCATTAATACACTCAGAAATTCGTGTATATCGACATTCTAAACCACGCTGTCCTGAAGCAGTCATGGAAGACTACGTTAACAGTTAGCCCTTCGTTGTTATCAATCATAACATGATATTTATTTCAGCTTTAGACCTCAATACCCGCAGTCATTATTTACTTCTAGGTTTAACTTGATACGTCAGCATGAGATATGTACCCCCTTGTCTATAGGTCGGCATCATATGTCTGAATGTCAGCCTGAGATATGTACCCCCTTGTCTATAGGTCGGCATCATATGGCTGAATGTAAGCCTGAGATATGTACCCCCTTGTCTATAGGTCGGCATCATATGTCTGAATGTCAGCCTGAGATATGTACCCCCTTGTCTATAGGTCGGCATCATATGTCTGAATGTCAGCATGAGATATGTACCCCCTTGTCTATAGGTCGGCATCATATGTCTGAATGTCAGCCTGAGATATGTACCCCCTTGTCTATAGGTCGGCATCATATGTCTGAATGTCAGCCTGAGATATGTACCCCCTTGTCTATAGGTCGGCATCATATGTCTGAATGTCAGTATGAGATATGTACCCCCTTGTCTATAGGTCGGCATCATATGGCTGAATGTCAGCCTGAGATATGTACCCCCTTGTCTTTAGGTCGGCATCATATGTCTGAATGTCAGCCTGAGATATGTACCCCCTTGTCTATAGGTCGGCATCATATGTCTGAATGTCAGTATGAGATATGTACCCCCTTGTCTATAGGTCGGCATCATATGGCTGAATGTCAGCCTGAGATATGTACCCCCTTGTCTATAGGTCGGCATCATATGTCTGAATGTCAGCCTGAGATATGTACCCCCTTGTCTATAGGTCGGCATCATATGTCTGAATGTCAGCCTGAGATATGTACCCCCCTGTCTATAGGTCGGCATCATATGACTGAATGTCAGCATGAGATATGTACCCACTCTCCCTCAGATAGCGTTCTCTCTTCTCCGCCTCACGTGTTGAAGGGTCAGAAGTAGGAAACATGGCTGATTTTGTTCCATGTCTTTTGTGTCCTCCATACTGACTGCTGCTCTTTGCGGATCTTTGTACCCATGGCTGTGCAAGAACGTACATGGACCTCGACCTGCTTGACCTTGTGATCGGTGGGACACCGGGTGTTGCGGGGGCAGCTACTGGTGGGTTGACTGGAGATTGACAACTGGTGCGGGTGGAGCCTGGTGTCACGTCAACGTGTTCTGTGTGACCTGCGTGACCTGTGTCATCATTAGTGGAGGCCTGTGCTGGCTTCTTCCTGTAGTGACACGTGACAATAGTGAGATTGAGCCAGGTGTCACTCCTTATAGACAAATAGTTATTGTATATATATGAACCAGGTGTCACTCCTTACAGACAAATAGTTATTGTATATATATGAACCAGGTGTCACTCCTTATAGACAAATAGTAATTGTATATATATATGAACCAGCTGTCACTCCTTACAGACAAATAGTTATAGTATATATATGAACCAGGTGTCACTCCTTACAGACAAATAGTTATTGTATATATATGAACCAGGTGTCACTCCTTACAGACAAATAGTTATAGTATATATATGAACCAGGTGTCACTCCTTACAGACAAATAGTTATAGTATATATATGAACCAGGTGTCACTCCTTACAGACAAATAGTTATTGTATATATATGAACCAGCTGTCACTCCTTACAGACAAATAGTTATAGTATATATATGAACCAGGTGTCACTCCTTACAGACAAATAGTTATTGTATATATATGAACCAGGTGTCACTCCTTATAGACAAATAGTTATTGTATATATATGAACCAGGTGTCACTCCTTATAGACAAATAGTTATGGTATATATATGAACCAGGTGTCACTCCTTACAGACAAATAGTAATTGTATATATATGAACCAGCTGTCACTCCTTACAGACAAATAGTTATAGAGTATATATGAACCAGGTGTCACTCCTTACAGACAAATAGTTATTGTATGTATATGAACCAGGTGTCAATCCTTATAGACAAATAGTTATTGTATATATATGAACCAGGTGTCACTCCTTACAGACAAATAGTTATAGTATATATATGAACCAGCTGTCACTCCTTACAGACAAATAGTAATGGTATATATATGAACCAGCTGTCACTCCTTACAGACAAATAGTTATAGTATATATATGAACCAGGTGTCACTCCTTACAGACAAATAGTTATTGTATATATATGAACCAGGTGTCACTCCTTATAGACAAATAGTTATTGTATATATATGAACCAGGTGTCACTCCTTACAGACAAATAGTTATTGTATATATATGAACCAGGTGTCACTCCTTATAGACAAATAGTTATTGTATATATATGAACCAGGTGTCACTCCTTACAAACAAATAGTTATTGTATATATGAACCAGGTGTCACTCCTTACAGACAAATAGTTATAGTATATATATGAACCAGGTGTCACTCCTTATAGACAAATAGTTATTGTATATATATGAACCAGGTGTCACTCCTTACAGACAAATAGTTATTGTATATATGAATCGGGTGTCACTCCTTACAGACAAATAGTTATTGTATATATATGAGCCAGGTGTCACTCCTTATAGACAAATAGTTATTGTATATATATGAACCAGGTGTCACTCCTTACAGACAAATAGTTATTGTATATATATGAACCAGGTGTCACTCCTTACTGACAAAAAGTTATTGTATATATATGAACCAGGTGTCACTCCTTACAGACAAATAGTTATTGTATATATATGAACCAGGTGTCACTCCTTACAGACAAATAGTTATGGTATATATCTGCAGGCCGGCAGCCGAATCTGAGAAAAGTTTAGACACGCAAATCAAAGAATACTGGAACGTTGCTGTTTATGTGAAAATTTTGCCTTTTCTGTGATCCTCACTAAAGCCGTTTCACTCCATTGCTAAGATGGTACAGCAACCATACTTCATACCCTATAAATATGAAACCTCTTAATTTATGAGCGATGTAGTTGAGGAAATGAGTATGGTTTTAATATTCCAGCAGCAATATCATGACAGGGGACTCCAGAAATGGACTTCACACAGTGACCTAACGTACGAACATTGTACAAACGTCGGGCTTCTGTTTAGTGGACAATAATCACCAGGCCACTCACCCCTCTCATCCAAAGTTTTATGCGTGCCTCAGTAAGTCAAAGCTCAATGTATAACAATATATGTCCATCAATTCGAAACATTCTGCAGATCAAAGAATGCAAAGCTACAATGAAATGCTGCAGTTACTAGTTCCGGTTGACTCATATCCTTCAGCATGTATTATGTTCTCATAATGTATTTCCACATCGTGTATAACATGTCTGCACATTGTTGTGATACACTGACATTTGTGTAGCCTGTTGAGTAAGTTTACCTGCTATATATAGTCGCAACAACGACCAGAAGAACGGCCATGATCAGGATGCTGCCACCCACTGCCCCGACAGCTGCTATCAGGATAAGATCTGAAAATAGACCAGTTGTAACAATACGAGCGTCCGTGTCCCTCTCGACTCTATCCGATATCATCATATGCGCCCCACTAACGGAATTCCTTATCTGTAAAAAGACGCACATAACTCATCACTCATTTCCTGCATCAAACTATCGTTCTCCTCTAGATCAGGTCAATCAAGAAGATCGAGGATATTTCATGTGTCGAGTGACATATCATGTTTCTCCTATCGAGTGACGGGGGAAAGGAGATATTTTGTGCGGCGAAGCATGATATTTCACGAGTAAAATAGAATATGCTATTTGTAATATACTTTTTGTGTAGTTGTCAACCAGAAAATGAATTATTGTCATTACAAATGTAAAACCTGAAATGTAAATTCGACACTACCTAACACCAAGGAACGTTACAACACTCCTTATAATTGCGATTTTAATAGAAGTTCCGAGTTTGCAAAATCTTAGAGAAAATAAATAAAAGTAATAAAAAGATTTGAGGTCACTAAAATGCTTGACCATACATTTGGATATGATTATATACAAAATCAACTGAAAAAGTATATTCTTGAAATCTACGAGACGCTGTTGGAAGCGAAGGAAGACACGCTGGTCAAGTAACAAAACTGGCGCTTTGTGATTCGATTGACGAGTTAAATGAGAAATTTACAGTTTATAACGAAACATTTTAAAGAGAATAACAAATAGCAAGGAGCGATATTAACTCCATAAATGAACATCTGTCATTATTTTGCCATGTCAGTATGGAAGTAACGTCTAAAAGGACCTTAACAGGTTGTGTACGGGCCAGACACTTGCGTTAAAGGGAGAAAATTTGCGGGAAGGTAGCTCTTGTATAACAATAGTTCTGTCAAAATGTTATGTTCACTGCAGTGAAATATCAAGTGTTATGTTCACTGCAACGAAAATATCACTTTTCTCAACTTCAGAAAATAGAAAAATATATAATAAATAGTTGTATGCTACTCTGTAGGTATGGAAATAAGTGAATGTATTCTGTAAGATATATCTTGTTACATACCCATTGTGCTGACTCCAGAACTCGACGAAGTACTTTGTTCCCTGGTTGTTCCTTGTGTGCTGGTTCTTGCAGCTGTCGTCCCTTAGATTACCAAAACAATATTTATACATTAGCATTGCAGTCTATGTTAACACGGTTGTTTATTTGACACGTTGTATAGTAGGCACATTTACTTTATTTGTTTAGTTTCAATGTGACAGCGGTCTGGACCAGACAACCAGTGACCGACATAGTGAGCATCGATCTATACAATCCGGATAAAATGACATGCAAGTCAGCTGGCCTGTTAGACGCCTTTAACGGTATACATGTATATGGGTTGCTGAAGAACGTTTCTAACCAGGATTTTGACGGGTTTTACTTGCATTTGCGACCCTCTTCTTGGCTAGTGACAGTTTTTAGTGCACATTTAACTGAGTATTTGGCTGTTGCCAGAGATGAGCATGTGATAAACCTCGAATTCATTAATTTGAAGAAATTAACAGTGGAGAATATCATGTTTCCGTGTACAATATAACATCCTTTTAGGTTGAACTAGTCAGCAGTAGACCAGTGCACTTCTTCAGCGAGCGTTCGTCTTGTGTTTAATTCTAACAAAAGTGAAATGAGATACACCTACCTTGAGAATATACTGATTCTGCCATACTAATGAGGACGAAAGCCCAAAGGGCAGATCTGTGAAGCACCATTTATTTTTCCAGTCCGTCAAAGTCAACAGGAGGCAACTGTCTTCACGAGATTGTTATTTCAGTTCACTGACAGGCATTTTGGATTTTTTTTTGGACAAAGCATAAAACTTCCCAGTGATGTTTCGTCACAATTAAAATAGTTTATATTCAAGTCGTACCACAACGAAGGTCCAGAGATATGGTCGATTATTTCACTCACACACCCTGTGATGATCAGCTTGTGAAGTTAATGTATCCATTTAGCACTAATCCACTGCTGGTTAGCCGCGCCCTTTTCTTTCAATGATTTAAAATCTTGTCACCATGTTATACCAGGGTTGAACAGAACATGCTGGTATCTCTGCCTCACAACAGTGATTTACAAATACGTCACAAATAACCAACATGTTATTTTTGTCCAATTTTCGATTTCCTTGAACAACACACACGGAGTTATCATCGTATCAAACCCCTGAATAAACTGATACCTCGTGACGGCTGAGATATGATGGCGATATGCAAGCGGCTGTCTAGCTGTTTATTGCTGGAGAACATTTTGTTTATGTAAATTTGATGTTTTTCTGCTGTATCAGAGACAACAGAATGTAAGGAGAACCAATTCTTAGCTTAACTTATAGCCTGGGAATGTGCAACAGGCAAACAATATGCATAACTAGCGTTATCATCTCACAGGTCATGAGGAAAGTAAATACGCTTCCTCATAGGTGGATGCGCTTTGGTTGTCACTAATGACCGTGCACTCAGTTTCTTTGCCGCTACTCAAAGTACACTTATATTTCTTTGATGGTAATCTCTGTTTCTCTAATCACCTCACACTCGGTTTGTTTGCCGCTTATCATTGTGCACTGGGTTACAGCCGACCTACAGATAAGCAAGACACAAAAACGATACTCGACAGTTGAAGCCATTCAGCTCTCTCTCGATGTCGGAAATATTTACTGAGTAATATAAGCTGTTGGGTGGGCGTGTACAACCAGTATTATTTGTCTGACTGACTTCATGTTGAGCTCGTTCTCTCCCAGGTGTTATGCAGCATGTGTACGACAGCATCAAGTGAATGTGGCTGTCGGTATTAAAGAACGGGAATAAGGTGATAAACCCACTGTGATTCGCAGATTAGATTCCTCCTATTTTTAATTTGAATCGACCTGGCTGAACAACAGGAACAAGAGTGCCTATGTTCAACCCTTCCCACTGCAGGAACACACACCTTTCTGTTAAACATGTTATGTTTGAAGAACACCCAACAACAGTATAGTCATGCGGCAACGTATTTATTTTCAAAGATTAAGTGTACGTACTGTGATATTGGCAATGTATCAATTCTATACAAAACATCATGTTCGAATTTCATCGCAAATAAATATATTTACAATAAAAAAAGTGGAGACAATAAACGATGTCCAAATAGTTGGTCGGCCCATATGCATTATATATGTATCATTTGATGAATAAGAACGGAGCCGAATGTCTAGGAATATTAAAAACAAATACCTCATGTTATTACAGGAACCAACATCAACAACACTACAAGCACAGTGTCACGTGAGAGAACGGAGGTACACAGTGAAGACACACATCTATTGCCAGTGATGATCATGAAGCACAGTGTCACCTGAGAGAACGGAGGTACACAGTGAAGACACACATCTATTGCCAGTCATGATCATGAAGCACAGTGTCACGTGAGAGAACGGAGGTACACAGTGAAGACAAACATCTATTGCCAGTCATGATCATCAAGCATAGTGTTACGAGAGAGAACGGAGGTACACAGTGAAGACAAACATCTATTGCCAGTCATGATAATCAAGCACAGTGTCACGTCAGAGAACGGAGGTACACAGTGAAGACACACATCTATTGCCAGTCATGATCATGAAGCACAGTGTTACGTGAGAGAACGGAGGTACACAGTGAAGACAAACATCTATTGCCAGTCATGATCATCAAGCACAGTGTCACGTCAGAGAACGGAGGTACACAGTGAAGACACACATCTATTGCCAGTCATGATCATCAAGCACAGTGTCACGTCAGAGAACGGAGGTACACAGTGAAGACAAACATCTATTGCCAGTCATGATCATGAAGCACAGTGTCAAGTCAGAGAACGGAGGTACAAAATGAAGACAAACATCTATTGCCAGTCATGATAATCAAGCACAGTGTCACGTGAGAGAACGGAGGTACACAGTGAAGACACACATCTATTGCCAGTCATGATCATCAAGCATAGTGTTACGAGAGAGAACGGAGGTACACAGTGAAGACAAACATCTATTGCCAGTCATGATCATGAAGCATAGTGTTACGTGAGAGAACGGAGGTACACAGTGAAGACAAACATCTATTGCCAGTCATGATCATCAAGCATAGTGTTACGTGAGAGAACGGAGGTACACAGTGAAGACACACATCTATTGCCAGTCATGATCATGAAGCATAGTGTCACCTGAGAGAACGGAGGTACACAGTGAAGACAAACATCTATTGCCAGTCATGATCATCAAGCATAGTGTTACGAGAGAGAACGGAGGTACACAGTGAAGACTAACATCTATTGCCAGTCATGATCATCAAGCATAGTGTTACGAGAGAGAACGGAGGTACACAGTGAAGACACACATCTATTGCCAGTCATGATCATCAAGCATAGTGTTACGAGAGAGAACGGAGGTACACAGTGAAGACAAACATCTATCGCCAGTCATGATCATTAAGCATTGTGTTACGAGAGAGAGCGGAGGTACACAGTGAAGACACACATATATTGCCAGTCATGATCATGAAGCACAGTGTCACGTGAGAGAACGGAGGTACACAGTGAAGACCAACATCTATTGCCAGTCATGATAATCAAGCATAGTGTTACGAGAAAGAACGGAGGTACACAGTGAAGACAAACATGTATTGCCAGTCATGATCATGAAGCATAGTGTTACGTGAGAGAACGGAGGTACACAGTGAAGACAAACATCTATTGCCAGTCATGATCATGAAGCACAGTGTTACGAGAGAGAACGGAGGTACACAGTGAAGACAAACATCTATTTCCAGTCATGATAATCAAGCACAGTGTCACGTCAGAGAACGGAGGTACACAGTGAAGACACACATCTATTGCCAGTCATGATCATCAAGCACAGTGTCACGTGAGAGAACGGAGGTACACAGTGAAGACACACATCTATTGCCAGTCATGATAATCAAGCACAGTGTCACGTCAGAGAACGGAGGTACACAGTGAAGACAAACATCTATTGCCAGTCATGATAATCAAGCACAGTGTCACGTCAGAGAACGGAGGTACACAGTGAAGACACACATCTATTGCCAGTCATGATCATCAAGCACAGTGTCACGTCAGAGAACGGAGGTACACAGTGAAGACAAACATCTATTGCCAGTCATGATCATGAAGCACAGTGTCACGTGAGAGAACGGAGGTACACAGTGAAGACACACATCTATTGCCAGTCATGATCATCAAGCATAGTGTTACGAGAGAGAACGGAGGTACACAGTGAAGACAAACATCTATTGCCAGTCATGATCATCAAGCATAGTGTCACGTGAGAGAACGGAGGTACACAGTGAAGACAAACAACTATTGCCAGTCATGATCATCAAGCATAGTGTCACCTGAGAGAACGGAGGTACACAGTGAAGACACACATCTATTGCCAGTCATGATCATCAAGCATAGTGTTACGAGAGAGAACGGAGGTACACAGTGAAGACAAACATCTATTGCCAGTCATGATCATCAAGCATAGTGTCACGTGAGAGAACGGAGGTACACAGTGAAGACAAACATCTATTGCCAGTGATGATCATGAAGCACAGTGTCATCTGAGAGAACGGAGGTACACAGTGAAGACAAACATCTATTGCCAGTGATGATCATGAAGCACAGTGTCACGTGAGAGAACGGAGGTACACAGTGAAGACAAACATCTATTGCCAGTCATGATCATGAAGCACAGTGTCACCTGAGAGAACGGAGGTACACAGTGAAGACAAACATCTATTGCCAGTCATGATCATGAAGCACAGTGTCACGTGAGAGAACGGAGGTACACAGTGAAGACAAACATCTATTGCCAGTCATGATCATGAAGCATAGTGTCACGTCAGAGAACGGAGGTACACAGTGAAGACACACATCTATTGCCAGTCATGACAATCAAGCACAGTGTCACGTGAGAGAACGGAGGAACACAGTGAAGACAAACATCTATTGCCAGTCATGATCATCAAGCACAGTGTCACGTGAGAGAACGGAGGTACACAGTGAAGACAAACATCTATTGCCAGTCATGATCATCAAGCACAGTGTCACGTGAGAGAACGGAGGTACACAGTGAAGACAAACATCTATTGCCAGTCATGATCATGAAGCACAGTGTCACGTGAGAGAACAGAGGTACACAGTGAAGACAAACATCTATTGCCAGTCATGATCATCAAGCATAGTGTTACGAGAGAGAACGGAGGTACACAGTGAAGACAAACATCTATTGCCAGTCATGATCATGAAGCACAGTGTTACGTGAGAGAACGGAGGTACACAGTGAAGACACACATCTATTTCCAGTCATGATCATCAAGCACAGTGTCACCTGAGAGAACGGAGGTACACAGTGAAGACAAACATCTATTGCCAGTCATGATCATCAAGCATAGTGTTACGAGAGAGAACGGAGGTACACAGTGAAGACAAACATCTATTGCCAGTCATGATAATCAAGCACAGTGTCACGTCAGAGGACGGAGGTACACAGTGAAGACACACATCTATTGCCAGTCATGATCATGAAGCACAGTGTCACCTGAGAGAACAGAGGTACACAGTGAAGACAAACATCTATTGCCAGTCATGATCATGAAGCACAGTGTCACCTGAGAGAACGGAGGTACACAGTGAAGACAAACATCTATTGCCAGTGATGATCATGAAGCACAGTGTCACGTGAGAGAACGGAGGTACACAGTGAAGACACACATCTATTGCCAGTCATGATCATCAAGCACAGTGTCACGTCAGAGAACGGAGGTACACAGTGAAGACAAACATCTATTGCCAGTCATGATCATGAAGCACAGTGTCAAGTCAGAGAACGGAGGTACAAAATGAAGACAAACATCTATTGCCAGTCATGATAATCAAGCACAGTGTCACGTGAGAGAACGGAGGTACACAGTGAAGACACACATCTATTGCCAGTCATGATCATCAAGCATAGTGTTACGAGAGAGAACGGAGGTACACAGTGAAGACAAACATCTATTGCCAGTCATGATCATGAAGCATAGTGTTACGTGAGAGAACGGAGGTACACAGTGAAGACACACATCTATTGCCAGTCATGATCATCAAGCATAGTGTTACGTGAGAGAACGGAGGTACACAGTGAAGACACACATCTATTGCCAGTCATGATCATGAAGCATAGTGTCACGTGAGAGAACGGAGGTACACAGTGAAGACAAACATCTATTGCCAGTCATGATCATCAAGCATAGTGTTACGAGAGAGAACGGAGGTACACAGTGAAGACTAACATCTATTGCCAGTCATGATCATCAAGCATAGTGTAACGAGAGAGAACGGAGGTACACAGTGAAGACACACATCTATTGCCAGTCATGATCATCAAGCATAGTGTTACGAGAGAGAACGGAGGTACACAGTGAAGACAAACATCTATCGCCAGTCATGATCATTAAGCATTGTGTTACGAGAGAGAGCGGAGGTACACAGTGAAGACACACATCTATTGCCAGTCATGATCATGAAGCACAGTGTCACGTGAGAGAACGGAGGTACACAGTGAAGACCAACATCTATTGCCAGTCATGATAATCAAGCACAGTGTTACGAGAGAGAACGGATGTACACAGTGAAGACACACATCTATTTCCAGTCATGATAATCAAGCACAGTGTCACGTCAGAGAACGGAGGTACACAGTGAAGACACACATCTATTGCCAGTCATGATCATCAAGCACAGTGTCACGTGAGAGAACGGAGGTACACAGTGAAGACACACATCTATTGCCAGTCATGATAATCAAGCACAGTGTCACGTCAGAGAACGGAGGTACACAGTGAAGACAAACATCTATTGCCAGTCATGATAATCAAGCACAGTGTCACGTCAGAGAACGGAGGTACACAGTGAAGACACACATCTATTGCCAGTCATGATCATGAAGCACAGTGTCATCTGAGAGAACGGAGGTACACAGTGAAGACAAACATCTATTGCCATCATGATCATGAAGCACAGTGTCACGTGAGAGAACGGAGGTACACAGTGAAGACACACATCTATTGCCAGTCATGATCATCAAGCATAGTGTTACGAGAGAGAACGGAGGTACACAGTGAAGACAAACATCTATTGCCAGTCATGATCATCAAGCATAGTGTCACGTGAGAGAACGGAGGTACACAGTGAAGACAAACATCTATTGCCAGTCATGATCATCAAGCATAGTGTCACCTGAGAGAACGGAGGTACACAGTGAAGACACACATCTATTGCCAGTCATGATCATCAAGCATAGTGTTACGAGAGAGAACGGAGGTACACAGTGAAGACAAACATCTATTGCCAGTCATGATCATCAAGCATAGTGTCACGTGAGAGAACGGAGGTACACAGTGAAAACAAACATCTATTGCCAGTGATGATCATGAAGCACAGTGTCATCTGAGAGAACGGAGGTACACAGTGAAGACAAACATCTATTGCCAGTGATGATCATGAAGCACAGTGTCACGTGAGAGAACGGAGGTACACAGTGAAGACAAACATCTATTGCCAGTCATGATCATGAAGCACAGTGTCACCTGAGAGAACGGAGGTACACAGTGAAGACAAACATCTATTGCCAGTCATGATCATGAAGCACAGTGTCACGTGAGAGAACGGAGGTACACAGTGAAGACAAACATCTATTGCCAGTCATGATCATGAAGCATAGTGTCACGTCAGAGAACGGAGGTACACAGTGAAGACACACATCTATTGCCAGTCATGACAATCAAGCACAGTGTCACGTGAGAGAACGGAGGAACACAGTGAAGACAAACATCTATTGCCAGTCATGATCATCAAGCACAGTGTCACGTGAGAGAACGGAGGTACACAGTGAAGACAAACATCTATTGCCAGTCATGATCATCAAGCACAGTGTCACGTGAGAGAACGGAGGTACACAGTGAAGACAAACATCTATTGCCAGTCATGATCATGAAGCACAGTGTCACGTGAGAGAACAGAGGTACACAGTGAAGACAAACATCTATTGCCAGTCATGATCATCAAGCATAGTGTTACGAGAGAGAACGGAGGTACACAGTGAAGACAAACATCTATTGCCAGTCATGATCATGAAGCACAGTGTTACGTGAGAGAACGGAGGTACACAGTGAAGACACACATCTATTTCCAGTCATGATCATCAAGCACAGTGTCACCTGAGAGAACGGAGGTACACAGTGAAGACAAACATCTATTGCCAGTCATGATCATCAAGCATAGTGTTACGAGAGAGAACGGAGGTACACAGTGAAGACAAACATCTATTGCCAGTCATGATAATCAAGCACAGTGTCACGTCAGAGAACGGAGGTACACAGTGAAGACACACATCTATTGCCAGTCATGATCATGAAGCACAGTGTCACCTGAGAGAACGGAGGTACACACTGAAGACAAACATCTATTGCCAGTCATGATCATGAAGCACAGTGTCACCTGAGAGAACGGAGGTACACAGTGAAGACAAACATCTATTGCCAGTGATGATCATGAAGCACAGTGTCACGTGAGAGAACGGAGGTACACAGTGAAGACACACATCTATTGCCAGTCATGATCATCAAGCATAGTGTTACGTGAGAGAACGGAGGTACACAGTGAAGACAAACATCTATTGCCAGTCATGATCATGAAGCATAGTGTTACGTGAGAGAACGGAGGTACACAGTGAAGACACACATCTATTGCCAGTCATGATCATCAAGCACAGTGTCACGTGAGAGAACGGAGGTACACAGTGAAGACAAACATCTATTGCCAGTCATGATAATCAAGCACAGTGTCACGTGAGAGAACGGAGGTACACACTGAAGACACACATCTATTGCCAGTCATGATCATCAAGCATAGTGTTACGTGAGAGAATGGAGGTACACAGTGAAGACAAACATCTATTGCCAGTCATGATCATCAAGCACAGTGTCACGTGAGAGAACGGAGGTACACAGTGAAGACAAACATCTATTGCCAGTCATGATCATCAAGCACAGTGTTACGTGAGAGAACGGAGGTACACAGTGAAGACAAACATCTATTGCCAGTCATGATCATGAAGCATAGTGTTACGAGAGAGAACGGAGGTACACAGTGAAGACAAACATCTATTGCCAGTCATGATCATGAAGCACAGTGTTACGTGAGAGAACGGAGGTACACAGTGAAGACAAACATCTATTGCCAGTCATGATCATCAAGCATAGTGTTACGAGAGAGAACGGAGGTACACAGTGAAGACAAACATCTGTTGCCAGCCATGATAATCAAGCACAGTGTCACGTCAGAGAACGGAGGTACACAGTGAAGACACACATCTATTGCCAGTCATGATCATGAAACACAGTGTCACCTGAGAGAACGGAGGTACACAGTGAAGACAAACATCTATTGCCAGTCATGATCATGAAGCACAGTGTCACCTGAGAGAACGGAGGTACACAGTGAAGACAAACATCCATTGCCAGTCATGATCATGAAGCACAGTGTCACGTGAGAGAACGGAGGTACACAGTGAAGACAAACATCTATTGCCAGTCATGATCATGAAGCACAGTGTCATCTGAGAGAACGGAGGGACACAGTGAAGACACACATCTATTGCCAGTCATGATCATCAAGCATAGTGTTACGAGAGAGAACGGAGGTACACAGTGAAGACACACATCTATTGCCAGTCATGATCATGAAGCACAGTGTTACGTGAGAGAACGGAGGTACACAGTGAAGACAAACATCTATTGCCAGTCATGATCATCAAGCATAGTGTTACGAGAGAGAACGGAGGTACACAGTGAAGACACACATCTATTGCCAGTCATGATTTGTCTGCACCATATCCATGTTACACCAAAGTGGTAAACGTCTGAGACCTGCCTTCCTCCCACATTAAGCTGGAACGCCCCGATATAACTGACGTGTAATACTGTTAAAAGCGGCGTTAAACCCAACACTCATTCACAATTTTGACCAAGGAAGTTATCCACAAACTTTTTTCACAAGTTTTAAATATGTATCTGTCCTCGTTTTACTGTCAGTACGTGTACCGACCCCCACTATGTGGCTGGAGGGTTGGTGGTGTGGAATGTTATACAGTCAGTACGTGTACCGACCCCCGCTATGTGGCTGGAGGGTTAGTGGTGTGGAATGTTATACAGTCAGTACGTGTACCGACCCCCGCTATGTGGCTGTAGGGTTAGTGGTGTGGAATGTTATACAGTCAGTACGTGTACCGACCCCCGCTAAGTGGCTGGAGGGTTAGTGGTGTGGAATGTTATACAGTCAGTACGTGTACCGACCCCCGCTATGTGGCTGGAGGGTTAGTGGTGTGGAATGTTATACTGTCAGTACGTGTACCGACCCCCGCTAAGTGGCTGGAGGGTTAGTGGTGTGGAATGTTATAGTCAGTACCTGTACCGACCCCCGCTATGTGGCTGGAGGGTTAGTGGTGTGGAATGTTATACAGCCAGTGAGCTCCACATCACCTCCGTCTCCTTGATCAGTATCTTGACCACTCCCCTTTGTACAGCTTCCTGGCCAGGCTTTTGCGAGTACATACGTGGATGTTGATCTATCTGTGGGTGTTTTGTGTGTTGGCGTAATGCTAGGGTTAGAGTCAGTTCTTGCTTGTTGGTTGTTGAAAGATGTAGAACTGAAGTGAAAAGCGTCGAGGTTGACCTCAACGACTCCCGTACGGCCAGTATGAAAGTTATGATAGCTGATGTCATCGTTGTCATTTCGAGACGAACCTTGTGTCTTCCGCCACCTTGAAACAAATGTATGATAAAATATAAAACATGTGACAATGTGTTTAAAACGTTTAAGAATGTTAGATAATATATAAGAGAATGAAGTAGGAAGTTAAATGTTATTCTGTTCATCTTTAGTCACCGCGATTAGGTGCCTAACTCTGAGATTGTGGGTTCGAATCCCGGATCGGACTCAACCAAAAAGAGTACTAGAATTTATACTTTAAGAAACTGTTATCCCAAATATAATATTTGTTACAAGGGAACAACTATATTGGTGTTTTCAGATAAATATATTTCTGAACTACAGCTGGGTTTCAAAACACTATAAAATACTCATATTAATACTAAAACTCTATGCCAATTCTGAAGGAACTGGATCTTTTAATGTTTGCTCTACTATAGTTAGTACTAACTCCTTACTATCTGTTAACTGAGAGACAGGGCCAGAGAGACAGGACCAGAGAGTCAGGGCCGGGGAGACAGGGCCAGAGAGTCAGGGCCGGGAAGACAGGGCCAGAGAGACAGGGCCGGAGAGACAGGGCCGGAGACTCAGGGCCAGAGAGATAGGGCCAGAGAGACAGTGCCAGAGAGACAGGGCCGGAGAGACAGGGCCAGAGAAACAGGACCAGAGAGATAGGGCCGGAGAGATAGGGCCGGAGAGACAGGGCCAGAGAGACAGGGCCAGAGAGTCAGGGCCAGAGAGATAGGGCCAGAGAGACAGGGCCAGAGAGACAGGGCCGGAGAGTCAGGGCCGGGGAGACAGGGCCAGAGAGACAGGGCTAGAGAGTCAGGGCCAGAGAGATAGGGCCAGAGAGATAGGGCCAGAGAGTCAGGGCCAGAGAGATAGGGCCAGAGAGATAGGGCCGGAGAGATAGGGCCGGAGAGACAGGGCCAGAGAGACAGGGCCAGAGAGTCAGGGCCAGAGAGATAGGGCCAGAGAGACAGGGCCGGAGAGATAGGGCCAGAGAGATAGGGCCAGAGAGATAGGGCCAGAGAGACAGGGCCAGAGAGTCAGGGCCGGAGAGTCAGGACCGGAGAGTCAGGGCCGGGGAGACAGGGCCGGAGTGACAGGGCCAGAGAGTCAGGGCCGGAGAGTCAGGGCCAGAGTGACAGGGCTAGAGAGTCAGGGCCGGAGAGTCAGGGCCAGAGAGACAGGGCCAGAGAGTCAGGGCCAGAGAGATAGGACCGGAGAGACAGGGCCGGAGAGTCAGGGCCGGAGAGACTGGGCCAGAGAGACAGGGCCAGAGAGACAGGGCTAGAGAGTCAGGGCCGGAGAGACAGGGCCGGAGAGTCAGGGCCAGAGAGACAGGGCCAGAGAGTCAGGGCCGGAGAGACAGGGCCGGAGAGTCAGGGCCAGAGAGACAGGGCCAGAGAGTCAGGGCCGGAGAGTCAGGGCCAGAGAGACAGGGCCGGATAGTCAGGGCCGGAGAGTCATGGCCGGAGAGACAGGGCCGGAGAGACAGGGCCGGAGATAATATGGGTTGGTTAAACTTTAGATTTCCATGAGATTTTATATAAGCATAAGTGACATAAATATCTAATTCATCATCATGAATTTTAAATGCATACTTTCTTTTATGTGAAGTAACTGTGGATGTACCAAAAATAACAACTTTAGGTTTCCATCTATTGATTTTTAATTTCAATGTATTACAGTTATTATCATTAGTACCGTGTCATAGGCATATAACAAGAAAAAAGAATACCACTGTTCACACCATCACTATTATTATATAGAAAAAAGTTTCTACACTCTTAAGGAAAATAGTAAACAGCAAAGGTGACTGACTTTTTCCTTGGCGAACACCACTGTCACAATTTAAAAAAAACACCAGGCAGTTGACGTTTCAAATAAAAACATGACTTAATATAATCATATATAGTTCTTATAATAAGAAACAGTTTTGCTGAGCCACACATCTCCACACATTATTAAAGCTTTTTTAAAAACTCCACCAAGACACACAATAGGAGGTGGCTGACTTTCTCCTTGGCGAACACCACTGTCACAATTTTTTAAAAAAACAGGCAGGTTGACGTTTTAAAAAAAATACATGACTTAAAATAATCATACATAGTTCTTATTATTAAAAAATGCACAAAGACCCACAATAATTTCTGACCTGAGGAGTTCACTAATTCAATAGTGCAAAATAGAACAAAAACGTGAAGTATCCGTTCAAGAATCGTGCTTAAGCTTGCAACAGAATATCATTGCCTTCAACAAACCTTGCTTACCATAGATAACACTCATAAACAATTTTTCTGAGACGAGATAATACAGTTATAGGTATGCAATTGTCTGTAAACGTCCCCAGCTTTCAGATGAATTGGTTTGATTATTCCTAGTAACCAGACTTCCGGCAAACGTCCTGTTTATAAAATAGTATTAAACAACTCGCAATCAAATCTTAGAAGAAGAGATTTTGTCGAGATAATACTTTTCAATTTTGTCTATACCTTCAGTAACAAGGGATCAGACATATATGTATCTACAATCGTGGTCATACCATTGGTCTCAGTTAAGTTTTAGCTTAATTCAACCATTGTTCTTGCCGACTGCGTCGATGGCTGTGTTCACAAACATATAATGGATAATCACCGTGGCCGCACGTCGTTGAAAGAAGAGTCAGGTATGTGTTGCTCTAGGGTTACGGTTAGACCTAGGGTTAGGCTTCAAATGATGGTTAGTGTTAGGGCTAGGGTTAGGCTTCATACGATTGTTTATGTCATGGCTAGGGTTAGGGTTAGAGGTAGGTTTAGGGTTAGGGTTAGAGGTAGGGTTAGGGTTAGGGTTAGGCTTCATACGATGCAATGGCATTGTCATCAATACTTCAGAAGTTACAAGTGACAGCACCCATATATAATTATCTTTTCTTACAATAGGCATGGGTAGAGTTTTCCAAATGTCTTCTTGTTGCAGATCAGTGACTCAGAAACGGGGAGACACTTGTTGTTTGTAACAGCATGTTGTTTGAAGATACCATTATTATTAAGACAATGTATCATGGAATACAATGACTAACATTTGAGTTAATGACACAAGTATCTTCTGGGATGGTCAGGAATGGTCGTGAATACTAAATTTGTGGCTATTCAAGGCACCGGTAGATCAATTAATTCTTCCTTACAATTCAAGACATTAGAAGCAAAGGTTTAAAATCATTGTCCTGGAGATGTTTCAGTCTTACTTTTAAACTTACTTTCTCTTTTCGACAGTCTTCGATTTATGAGTTCATAAAGGTGATGATTTTCTTCAGGTCTACCAAGGAAGCCTCCATAGTTTCCATCTGTTGTACTTTATGATCAAGTGTTCACTGTATATTTCGTTGATTTTGGACACTTGCGCCACCACATAGGAAATCTCTTTGAACAGATCCTCCACCCAAGGAGGGTCAGCTGTTGTACTGAGGTCGCTGTATAACAGGGTAGAAGTCGTGTTTGCCACAAAGTGAGCATGAGGATAGTGGTGGTACATACCGAATGGTTCTTGGTGATTATTCGCTGACATGAAGGCATGAGTGTTAGCTTGTGCCCTGATGTGTTGAGGAAACACAGTCGGCGAGTCCCCACTGATCGGTAGTGTCAAGCTGTTGGATGCCATGTTGTGTTGCTGTTGAGATTTGCTCTCCGATGAGGCCGAAAGATTATTTTTCGTTTCGTCCTCTTTTTCTCCTCTGATAAAGCTTTACTTTACTCATTGTAACATCTAGCTATACTCGAAGGATGTTCGTACAATAGCATCACCGTATTGAGGTTAAGTTTGACAAAGATAACGGGAGGACTTAGATATGTACATTTTGTGAGTGGGTGAAACCGGAAGGGCAGGACATGATCACTCTTTTCGCCATCAGCTGGTGTCATCACTGATTTTCAGCGATCCATTCATATGTTTTTCACCTCAAGTTTCCCTTCTATGCCCACTGGAATCTGTCTGCTCTGATTAGCAAAGCCAAAACAATATCATTTAGACAAGAAAATTAACTTAAGTTTCAGGTATATCAATGATCTGATATCGTTCAATAAAAATCAAATAGCCAATTCCCTTCCACTGATTTTCCCACCTGAATTAGAAATAAAGAAGACCAGGTTGTACGCTTTGTCTGTTTATATATATATTTCTTTCCAATAGTCAGCTTTCCCTTTATGTAAAGCAATATTCTTGGAGCTCCAGTCCTTGGTGTCTACATTTCACAACGTTTAAGGTACCATCGAGCATACGAAGATGTCCAAGAACGTCATACAACTATTGTTCAGAAGCTGTTTGATCAAAGTTGCAACATTCGATGCGTCAGGATGGTCTACAAGGTTTTATTGTGGATCAATGGAGGATATTTCTAATTGTGACGTATCAGTGACAAAAATGACACCTGATGCATTCAATTTTTTCACTTATTTCATCATATATACCCGTGTGTTTGCAAGTGAACAATTGAGACGCTTCAGCATGTATTTGTGACGGGTACAACCGGTGGGGCAAGATACGCTCACCTTTTACAAACACCTAATGTCATCACTATTTGAAAGTGATTGATGCACACATGCTCATGATATAATCGAAAACTCACAATTGACATTGTGTGCAGCAGGGATTTCTGAGGAAAATAGAAATGATTTTGCCGTTTTCCTTTACCTGCACCATACAACTGCGACAAGAATCACGATGACCAGGCACGTTGCTGAACCTGCTACTGCTATGGTTGTTAAGGGGCCATCTGAAAATAGAATAATGAAACCGTATACACTACTCTTGTGACAATTTGTAAAATATATATTATTGTCTTCCAAAGTAGCAAATGTATTGATTGTCTGTCAACTGAGGCTGACCATTTACACTTACCATGGTTAATTGGTATAAATGTGTCTATATGTCATGCATCATACATCATTATGACCAACTATCAGCAAGATGTTGCCCTCATGATACTGACCTGAAGATTGTGGAGGCCTGGTTGGCTTTGTCCCATGAGTTCCAGATGGATGCGTTGATCCAGCAGTGGGATTTGTGTGGTCTTTCGCGGATGTTTTCTTTTCTTTGCCTTCAGCGGTCGGACCTGAACATTTAGTTCCGAATTAAACAGACTGTTTTCATATAATATAGTTCTGCTATTGTCAAAATCTAAAGAAGCAATAACATATGCGCTTTTCTTTTCTAATATCTACATGAAAAAGATTTCCATACGAAGGGCGATAGGTTAACAAGTAACAGAAAAATTGAATATATGAAAGTAACAGTTCTTCTTCACAACACCACCACTGTGAATTCAAAACGTAATCATCAACTGGGGGCATGGGTGGCCCAGTCGTCTAAGGCGCCGCGATTCGCTGTACAGAGTTGCGTCCCTCGGGCACGCCAGAAACATATGATTGTTGGTTCGAATCAAAGTTCGACCCGATTATGTTTCTAGGTTTGTCCGCACCATACCAGTGCTCGTGGGTTTCACCGAAGAAGCAAACGTCTGAGACCTGCATCACTTCAGGCTTTCAGGTGGGACATTAAGCTGACACCATGATATAACTGGAACCATGTTAAAAGCAGCGTTAAACCCAACTCACTCACTCACTCATCATCATTTTCGATTGTCTGCTAAAAACAGATTACATGGGCCGTAAAAGTCAAATTAGTGATGAAAAACAGAGATAAAACCAGGTGTTCTCTGAAAAGTCAAACATGCCCTGCTCTACAGTAACTACCCGCCACTCAAATCATTTTCATTAAAAAAGTGTTTCTTTGGTTGTCGCCTAAGGGCACAGCCAACAATACCCCTGAAACATGACTGCGGCCTATCATTGAATCTGGACTAGACATTCCAGTGCTTGGTTTTATGAGCAATGATAAATGCAGTCGGGATATATATAACACCAGCTATAAGCCAAATCACCAAGTTTGACCACCCGATCTGTGAAATTAAGCCGACTGTCAGTTGCAGGATGTCCTCAAGAAACAGACCTGATGCTGGAGGAGGCCTAGTCGGCTGTGTCTCATGTGTTTCAGATGTTTCAGCTGACATGTGGGTTGTGTTGTCTTCTACGAATGTTTGAATTTCCCTGCGATCAGAGGTCGGACCTGAAAAGTATGAAAGACTTGTGCTTTAAGCTCACGCTGATTAAGTTTCTCAGCTTAAGTTACTTAAGTCGGGAACAGGTGAGGGTATCCTGCCCCACTGGTGGCACTCGTCACAAACACATGCGAAGGCAAGTAATTTGTTCACCCGAATAAACATGGGAACATATGGTAGAAGTAGAAAACGTGCATAGTACCGGACATCACTGATCCCTCAAATTTGGAAATGTCTTCCACATGTCTAACATTAAACGTTTTGAAAGCTTTCCTGAGGCCTCGAATGTTGTAACCTTGAACGAACAACTTTTGAATAGGCAACGTATGACGCTCTATGTAATGAAAAGAGCAAACAAAGACATACATATATATACTGACAGAATTTCCAAGTTGTATTTCCTCGTGTGGTATTTTCTCAAAACGTGCGAAACTTTATTTCAGCTGACGTTATGTTGAAAACATACAGCTTTAAGCTCTTTGACGACATTTCTTTTGAAACTAACAACATCATCTATGGCACTGAATTGTGGATTGATGTTGGAGATTTATGTTTGAGATTTATCTTGTATGTCCTGTGAAAATCGTTGGATTTGTCTGTTACGTACGGCAAAGGCTTATGGATGTTAATGACAAAAATAAAAATGATGGCAGTATTTTTAACCAACGAACTTCCAAAGTTCATTGATTGAGACTGTTTCCAGCATTCCGAAGATATGGCTTCAGAGTGAGTGAGTGAGTATGGTTTTACGCCGCTTTTAGCAATATTCCAGGCATTATCACGGCGGGGGACCACAGAAATTCGGCTTCACACATTGTACCCATGTCGGGAATCGAACCCGGGTCTTCGGCGTGACGAGCGAACGCTTTAACCACTAGGCTACCCGACCGCCCCCTATCGCTGCAGACATGGTCACAGGTCTGGATGAAGGCTAAATGATGCATTGGGTTGGAAGATCTGTTACCAGTATTGGGACAGTACATAGTAAGTGCCGTGTCATTTTGGCTGGTGGATGTGTCTACTAACAGCAGAAGTAATCAAGACTGACACGAGAGAATAATTGTTGATATTGCTTTAAAACGTTTTGCAAAACGAGAAATAGATAAATAAGAAAATAAAGGTTTTTTTTCTTAAATTTGGAATTTGTTAAGTGAGTGAGTGTGTGTGGTTTTACGCCGCTTTTAGCAATATTCCAGCAATATCACGGCGGGGCACACCAGAAATTGACTTCACACATTGTACCCATATTGGGAATCGAACCCGGGCCTTCAGCGTGACGAGCGAATGATTTAACCACTAGGCTCCCCGACGGCCCCTGAATTTGTTAAGTGAGGGAGAAATCTGTCAAAACTACGAATCAGTACTATCAACTTTTAACAATAAAACATGAAGATATAATCATTCCCATTTTGATTCCATAGCTCCTTAAAAATCAGGATAAAGAGAGTTATGTTCCCGTCGACTTCAATTCTTTCAAACAGTCAATTTTCCCTTTCTGTCAAGAGCAATCGAGTAGGGTCTTTCTTTAAAGATTTCAGAATGTCTCATATGACTCTTGCTCAAAGGTATAATGTAAGACATGCGGAGGGCATTATCAAATCTGAAGCATCAGTGACCAAACTGATGTCTTATGCAATATTCCTCATTGTGACTTATACCACAGGTCCCCGTGATTGTTCATGTGAACAACTGATATACCTTTGCACCTGTTTGTGACAGATGCCACCGTTGGGACAGGACGCGATCAATGTTTTCGTGAACACTCATTGAAAGTGATTCATAAACACAAGTTATTTAGACAGTTGGAATGGTTGAATAATATCCTATTTATTGACCTGGAGCCGTTGATGAAGTTGGCGTGGCTGCCTCCTGAGCTACTTGAGTTGCATGAGTTGAACTTGTTGACGCTCGTTGTCTTCTGAATGTGAGCGTTTCAAAACGCGAAGCTGCAAAGGTATGTAGATTTAAGAAAATCAACTAATCTCACAAGGGTTGTCATACAACGTCATGTGATAGATAGATAGATAGATAGTTAGATAGATAGATAGATAGATAGATAGATAGATAGATGATAGATAGATAGATAGATAGATAGATAGATAGATAGATTCATTCTTTAATAATATATATTTGTGATTATGAAAAAGAACATTATTTTAATACATTATTGTTTATTGCGTTCAAAAATTCATATAGTATAGACAGGATGGAAATATATACAAACTGATGTTGAGGTTTGTTATATGTGAAAGTTTGCGTGTACCTACCATTAACCATTATCCAGGCATTTACTCCATCATGGCCCTTGTTGTCATAGTGTACGTCTACTGTTGTAGCTTCAGAAACGACTGGCTGGTTGTAACTTTCATATGCCCCGTTAGGAATCTGTTCTGTACCTCCAGCTGAGATTGTTAGGATCCCCTGAGGTTTTCGCTGTTCAATCACAGTGACTGTCATGTTCACACCTGTGACGTTCATTTTGCAGCTGCCGATGACACCGTCACTGTCTGGAAAGCCGGGGGAATGAAGTTACAAGGTTCCGTTGACCGTGACTGTACCCCTGTCCTGGGAACACATGTCCAGACTACCTGTGTTTGTGAGACTGAGTGTAACGTTTCTTCCCCATAGCGGTTTTCAAGGTTTTAGACTACATTAGAAGAAGCGACAGGACTCTCATGTAGCAGTGAAAGAAGTCAGCTCAACAATGTTGTGTAGAAATAAGTGATGGTTAAATGGTGCATGGTGAGAAAATACCGCATTAGGCCAATACTTAAAAAACGTTGCGATTATATATATATATATATTCTCTTTAATTTAGAATCAGTTCAAAAGGGGGAAAATGTCTGTCTGGTCTGCTTTCACCGCTCATTTATTGTTTGAATATAAGACTTTGACGTTTGGCTATTTAAGTTTTACATGTTTTCTTCAATTTGTACCTTCAATGCACTGATATTGAACCCCTGCAGCACCATCTGTAACGCTGCAGCTGTTGCTGACTGTTGGGACGGTCTCATTACAGGACTCTCTGCCATTACAGTTGACCGTCAAACCTGTGCTTGATCTGTCATAGACACGTTTACATGATTCTCTATCACTATTTCCCAGGGGACAGTTCTCAACTGATCCTCTTTCCCCATACGACTTGCATAGGACATGTATCCTCTTGGTAGGGAGGCAATGTAGATGAGTGACGTTGCCGGGTACGCCCTCCACACAGATCCTCCGGGAGTCTTCTTTGTCATGGAACAGATATATACTCAACAACAAAAGTTCCTGTGACGCCAATATTTTAGTGTATTTTTCAAACAAGTAAAGTTTGGTTTTCAATATTGTTGTACATGTATGGAATCAACTGCTACAGAAAAGCATGCATTCCATGCAAAAGTTGCGTTAAAACATGTGCGTTAACGGGATTCCATATGTATAGTGTAGCATCGTGCTGACAACAACCACTCAGAAAAGCAATAAAATTACGCAATTATTCAACATTACGAAATGCAATGTAAACATAATAGGCCACGGCGTGGCTACTCCAATGAATAGCCTACCATGACAACCATGTTACTTGCTTGGAGTATCGTGTGTACCACACAACTCCAGCCTATAGGGAGGAAGTGTTCCTCAACACATGTACATATGTATGTTATCAGGTACAGGTAACTACGTCTACAACGATAGGAACAGGACTGTTTGTTGAATTTGTATGGCATTAGGGCTATATTAAATGTTCAAAGTGTAAATATTTTTAAAAAAACCTACGGTCAAATATAAAATGTACATATTGCGAAAAGGTGAGTAATGTAATGGGTTGTGTCTCCCATGAGTTGTGATGCCACCCACTCCCCAATTCTGTTACACTTCCACCCAAAAAGCTAGTGACATTGAGTAACGCAAGAGTCGCTAAACGTTCTGCTGGACGCCTGCAGACCCTTGCAGGGCCATCACGGCTGTCCCAGGTTTTCTTTGGAACCTCAGATTCTGTCTGCACTTAGCTAAGCGTGACTGACGGTGACGTGGAAGCAAAGTACGGCGTATTGCTGGATGTCGGGGCCGGGTGTTGACGTGGAAGCAAAGTAAGGCATATTGCTGGATGTCGGGGCCGGGTGTTGACGTGGAAGCAAAGTACGGCGTATTGCTGGATGTCGGGGCTGGCTGTTGACGTGGAAGCAAAGTACGGCGTATTGCTGGATGTCGGGGCTGGCTGTTGACGTGGAAGCAAAGTACGGCGTATTGCTGGATGTCGGGGCAGGCTGTTGACGTGGAAGCAAAGTACGGCGTATTGCTGGATGTCGGGGCCGGGTGTTGACGTGGAAGCAAAGTAAGGCGTATTGCTGGATGTCGGGGCCGGATGTTGACGTGGAAGCAAAGTAAGGCGTATTGCTGGATGTCGGGGCCGGATGTTGACGTGGAAGCAAAGTACGGCGTATTGCGGGATGTCAGGGCCGGCTGTTGTGCTCCCTGAACCTGTTGCGTACGGTTCGTCTACTCATTGATATCAAACTAGGAAATTGTCCGAGTTGTTAATGTGACAGTTTGGAATAGATTCAGTAGAACATGGCTGTCTTGTTGTCGTGACATCACACGTGAACAACCGGCCCGTGGCAATTCATGAGTGGTGCCCTACTGCAGATAACGTCTCGAAAGAGATCTTATTGTGTTTCCATGAACATATAAATGACTGGTAATTTGACATTGATTTTCTGCAAGCGTTATTTACGGTAAGGCAAAATTGTTTTTATGAGCACTAAGTCTTGATAGCCAAACAATCATGAATACACCTCTCAGAAAACATTATAGTGATCCCGACCCTTTTACCTTTTGCAGTAATGTTTGTTGACGTTGCCATGACGGAAGAAAGTTCCGTTGGATGAACAAGTTTGCAATAGAAAAAAACTATTTTAATAGCATGTGCAGTCGAAATGTGATTTATTGTGTTAATGTCATGTTTTCATTAATGCCTTCTTGTTGAGTAGGGGGCTGTTGAACCTGAAGAGATTGATCGTCACCTTCTTCCGTCTGTACAGAAGGTTCCCCATCATCTCTTGGATGGAGAGTGTTATCTGTACCGTCTTCAGACTGCAAGGATTGCTCCTCTCCTGTGTTCTCGCCAGACACCTCGTTTCCTTCTTTAAGCACCCCAGGAAGGTGCTCGCCAGACACCTCGTTTCCTTCTTTAAGCACCCCAGGAAGGTGCTCGCCAGACACCTCGTTTCCTTCTTTAAGCACCCCAGGAAGGTGCTCGCCAGACACCTCGTTTCCTTCTTTAAGCACCCCAAGAAGGTGCTCGCCAGACACCTTGTTCCCTTCTTTAAGCACCCCAGGAATGTGCTCGCCAGACACCTTGTTTCCTTCTTTAAGCACCCCAGGAAGGTGCTCGCAAGACACCTTGTTTCCTTCTTCAAGCACCCCGGGAATGTGCTCGCCAGACACCTTGTTTCCTTCTTCAAGCACCTCAAGAAGGTGCTCCCCAGACACCTTGTTTCCTTCTTCAAGCACCTCAGGAAGGTGCTCGCAAGACACCTTGTTTCCTTCTTTAAGCACCCCGGGAATGTGCTCGCCAGACACCTTGTTTCCTTCTTTAAGCACCACAGGAAGGTGCCCACCAGACACCGTGGTTCCTTCTTTAAGCACCTCAGGAATGTGCTCGCCAGACACCTTGTTTCTTTCTTTAAGCACCCCAGGAAGTTGCTCGGCAGACACCTTGTTTCCTTCTTTAAGCACCCCAGGAAGGTGCTCACCAGACACCTTGTTTCCTTCTTTAAGCACCCCAGGAAGGTGCTCACCAGACACTGTGGTTCTGTCTTCGTACACAACAGGTAAGAGTGCGCCTTCCCCATGTTGAACAGGACGCTCACTGTTAACTTTGTACGGAACAGTTTTCTCCACGCCAAATTCACGTGGCACTTCATGCATCTGTGCCACAACATCCTGCGTACCGGCAGCAGGAGTACACTCAGGCTGGTCACTCATTTCCAACATGTGCCCTGGTATTGGAACATGCGGGCTCGTGATTTCATGAACAGAGCAGGAATTGTTCTGATCTTGACTTGGCATCTGATTTGGACATTGTTGAGATCTGTTGTAGGTGTTCATGTCTTGCGTTTGGAAATCATCGTGAATGTTCACCTTCACTGTATCAACCAGCTGAATTTTGCCGCCATTTGCAAGCTTTTCATTACTTTCAACAATATCTACTACATGTTGGCTGACCTGGGGAGCCATCTCTCTTTCCATATGGATGTCTACCTGGAAAACCTGAGTTTGAGAATTGGGAATGACAGTAGAGATGACACCAGCGGTCGCTGAATTTGCGTTGACCTGCGTTGTCTGAACCCTAATTCCACAAGTGACGCCCAGGGATTTGCCTATTCCCGTCTTTCTCTCTGGCTTTGGCTTCCTTTTCTTCTGATTTGTGGGTTTCCTAATTGGAGAAATAAAGAAGTAAAGTATCCAGAAATAAGTGTCATGTTTTCGTCCAACTTATAAATGTCTATCAAAGACTTAAAAACCTAAGAAAACAAATACAAACTAGAACGACTACTGTATATTGATTGCACTTACTGATCTTCAGTTGAGGAAAAGTAAAGTTAAGGTGAAATGCAGAGATCCTCACCTGCAAAGAGCAACAGCTATGATGGCTGCTATGAGGACAATCATACCGGAAGCCACACCTGCGGCAATCAATCGTGTCGGCATTTCATCTGAAATCATAACATTACACTATGAAAACACACCTTTCTCCTGAAATTAGAGTTATTCGTTAAAGTTTGTCAATGCAAACTGCAAGCTGAATCAAAACATAGGTTTTGTCTTCATATTAAACACTTTTGTTGGACCAGATTTTGGAATGCAGTTCTTTCACACTGTACACCGGAACCTGTGTTACAGTTACTTTCCTCACGTACTTCCTCATTCATGTATGGTATTAACTTTAGTAATTACCTTGTGTTTGAGGGATCCCAAAGGACGATTGCGGCGTCTGTGCCTGTCCCACTGTCGTCAGTGGTGTTGGTGATAGATTATGGGGGGTTTCTGCTGATGAAAGACATAAGGAAATATGAATTATGCTTGTGTTGCATGTTATATATACACAATGAAGAACGAAGCGTTGTTTATTTCATGATGAAATGTTGTTCTATTAAAACGTCATTTTGATGATGTCGTAAATTGGACGACAATATGTTTTGAGAAGGACGTTCCTAGTTAGTTGTTCCCTATAGAATCAATCCAATGTGTGCGCGATATTACAATCTGTATTGGGAGAAAAGCTACAGATAATCCACGTGCAAATATGTACTCATATCCAGAAAATGCCCATCTGACACCCCCTGTTCATAAAAAGAATTTGTACGACATTTGGCATAATCATAATTTAAATACAGAAATATATTGACATTTAGGTTTGTTCATACTTTCAGCCACGGGAGCCATGTCAATTTACACTTGTCAGAGGGGTACACTGAGTACGTGATCCAGACTACCAGTTATCGGACATCCATTTTTTGTGGTAGCCTTGGTGGCTGAGTGGGTTACATCGCTAACTTTGTGTGCTGGCGATTAGGTGCCTCACTCAAGCAGTGTGAGTTCGAATCCCAGACGGGACTCAACCCAAAACAGTACGAGAATCTGTACTTTACTAATTAAGCGTTATCCCAAATATGATATTACATTTGACCACTTTCTAAATGGCATTGTGTGTTCGTAACTTTCAGCCATGGGAGCCGTGCCAATTTACACTTATCAAATGTGTACACAAAGTACCTGATCTAGACTACCAGTTATCAGACTTCCATTTTTGTGGAAGCCTCGGTGGCTGAGTGGGTTACATCGCTGACTATGTGTGCTGGCGATTTGGTGCCTCAATCTCAACCCAAAAACGTACGAGAATCTGTGCTTTAGTAAGAAAGTGTTATCCCAAAATATAACAATTGTTACATAAATTTTACCATGCCTTATACAAGTATATTCGCACTTTAGGTAATCAAACTGGTAACTTCACTTTGAGTCAAAGTGGGGATCTTTGTTGGAGATGATGCACTGGAATCTCCTGGCAGTAAAGATATGTAATTTTAAATACAGTTTTTGACAGTTCAAAAGTATTATTCAGTGAGAACTTCAACATATATTGTCACTTCAACGTCAGTCAGAGAGTGACAGAGAACAGGTAGTTCCTGCAGGGCCTGAGGCGCTAAGTCTGTCGTCAGTAAGATACATGACCATAACTTTGCCATTTTACAAGTGCCTATGTACCTGTGGCTTCAGACCGTTCTGTTGTGGCTGGAAGTGGCCTAGTTGATGGTGGAGCTGCCGTAGTTGGTGGTGGAACTGCCGTAGTTGATGGTGGAACTGCCGTAGTTGATGGTGGAACTGCCGTAGTTGATGATGTAACTGTCCTAGTTGATGGTGGAGCTGCGCTAGTTGGTATCTGTGTGGATCTGGATGTAATGGACCACATTGAAGATCTTACTTCTGTCCAGCATTGGAAGACCACTGAATCGGAGCCTAAAGACAAAAAGACAAAACACTGAGATTGGTATTGCATGAAGTGTCACTTGACTATTTTAGCTGACATATTAAAGACACAACAGGTATCCACCTCCATTTCAACTCTTCAAATCTGCAGTATATGAACTATGCTAGATTCATGTGTTATCAAAACGTTGTGTCAGCTTACCCGAAATAAGTATCCAGATATCTTCTGAATTATAATTATAGTTGTCATAAATCAGTTGAAGTGTCGTCGCATTTTCAACAACCACCCAATCAGATGTTGCTCGTGGTATCTGGTAGGTTTCATTCCCACGGGTTAATGTAACATAGCTGTGGTTCAAGCGTTGTTGTATTATTTCGACTTTCATTTTGTGACCGGTGATGTTGCAGTTGCAGATTGCATCTCTGCCGACACTGTTCGGAAAACCAGTGGAGTGAAGATACAGAGAACCGTTGATCTCCGTCCGTTCTCGAATCTCAGTACACACGTTAACGCTCTCTGTAAGGAGACGAATATAGACGCATACACAAGCCGTATTTCGTATATCTACTTGTATAAAAACGAAAACATTGACTGTTGACGTACACAAATTATATACAGCAAAGGAGCCTACTGAAGATGTCAAATTCCAAATTTGCTTAAAACTTAACTTAAAACTCAGCCACCCAATTGTTCCCTCATTTGGACAAATACAGTTTTACAACGTCAAATAAAAATCTAAGTATGAGCAAGTACTTCCGACAAATATTCTTGTTTCCTGTGCAGTTCAGTCCCAAACACGTAATTGTTGAAGTGACATCCTTTAGCTCTTTCTCATATTTACATATCGGATAATTTCCATAGCAATTTGTTTGTTTTTTGGGCACATTAAACAAAAACAAAGGGTTGCAAACAATGTTCTTACCTCTGATACATGTGTAGGAGATGTTAAGAGGACCGCTGCTGCAGCTAGGCAGTAGGCTGCTCACCAGTCCAGAGCAAGACTCGTTTCCATTACATATCGCATGGAGTGTGCTGTTTCTGTTTGGGCTGACGCATGTCGAGAAGTTGACTGGGCAACTATTGTCCGACCTTTCCCCGTATGATTCCTCTAGAATGTGCATCATCCCACTCGTATTACATATTAGAGACAGCGAAGCGTTAGAGTCGTCCATGCATACGTCCTGAATGATGACGTTCCCTGTAGGGTAGTGAAACACAGGGCGTCTTACAGTGAATCAGACAGTAGACAGACCCCAAACACTGAATGTTTTGTTGTTGAAATAACTCATTTGTCATAACAAAACCGATGTGGTTTCTACTTCAGCAGTAAAGATCGCTGTAAGTGTGGCAGTTACAGGTTTTGTTTAACTGTCAACTAACCAGTAATATACCAGTAGTATATAGTGTATATAATACATAGTGTAGTTAGTATTAGTATTAATATTAGCATTAGTTATTTGTTTCAGTATTAGTATATAGTGTAAATAATACATAGTGTAGTTAGTATTAGCATTAGTATTATTATTAATATTAGTATCTAGTATTAGTATTTATTATTAATATTAGTATTTAGTATTAGTATTTAATATTAGTATTTAGTATAAGTATTTAGTATAAGTATTTAGTATTAGTTTGCAGTATGGGTTTAAGGGATTTTAATGAAGATTTGATACAACACCTATTAACTTAGTTATGCTTGGGTCAGTCACTACCCTATCAGCTCCTATGTGTCAGCCAGGGCAAATGTTCTGGTTGAGTGGTTGACCCTATTTTTTTCCTTAGGGTCAGCTGTGCATGCTTTTTAACCCTCACTTGCACCTCAGTCACTACACTGACAAGTCACTGACAGACAACAGCAAGTGGACACATTTTATAGATTTTGTAAAGTCAAGGTATGTTTCCAATTTAAATACTCAAACATATATAAACCTATCTTTTCATAAATAAGATTATATAAATAGGTGTACGTTGAATAAGGTATTTGTTATGATGTGTGTGAGATTTAGTCAATGTCTGATTCTCCTGGACAGAGTGTTGTTTGAATATGTTTATGAGGCCATTATCATATATGTGTTAAATGTATTGTAAGTGTTTGGACATTTATGATAGTTTTAGGATGTTTAGTAATTTGTTGAGTTTTATGGTAGTGCTGGGATCAGATCTATAAATATGTATAAACAATAGCACTGATCTGATAATAATGTCCAAACGTGCAAGAGCATTGTGTAAGGAAGCTAGTTTTATTGTACATTTAGAATAACTTCCATATTTATAGGTACTTTGATGTCACTGTAGCCCTGACCATGTAGTCGTGACAGGCTAAAGTGTAACCTACACCTAGAGGCCATACTTCTGGTATGTTTACTTATCACCACATGTAAATATATATTATTATTATTATTATTATTATTATGTTTATCTGTTGATCACGTTTTACACAACCTAAGAAGTATTTTGATTTGATGTATGCATATTCTATATGTATGTATAATGTAATTCTAATGATGTAACATGTTCTGACGTATACATACCCTCTATATATGTATAAGGTAATCCTAATGAAGTACCATGTTCTCATTTAATTGTCATAATTTACAATATTCTTATTGAGTGTTATTGTGCATTTCAGGGTGTGAAAGAAAGGTATACCACTCGTCATCTAATAAAACGAATCACACCCGTAGCTGTGTTTTTGACATCATTTATCGATGCACACACGTATTCTGCTACATAAGTAATCTGTGATTTCATGTTATTTGATTAAATACTGAATATGAGAGTACGGTATAGAATAGGGAAACGTGTTGTCGAAATAATTAACAAGAATTTTTCATAATAAATAAAGCGACAAAACTCTTTCCATGTTCATCAGAATTATCTGCCCAAAGCAGTGACGATTGTACGAATCCGACTTTATCACGATCATGTGTCTATGAATAATTATCAAATGTATAGTGATGACACCAGGTGTTCCCGAAAAGGTGAGCGTATCCTGGCCCGGCGGTGGCAACCGTCACAAACACATGCAATGACAAGTCAACAAACCTTGAAGGTTAGGTTATTCTGAATACAAAATGTTTATCTGTGAGCACCATGAAAGCCAAGTTATTCTTAATACAGAATGTTTATCTGTAAGCACCATGAAAGCCAAGTTATTCTGAATACAAGATGTTTACATGATATGGTGTTGACACTGCTGAAGACACATCATAGATGTAGAAGTACAGTGTCGATACATGTGATCAAACTACTAAGTGAATCACATGATCACCAAACGCCTTTACAGTCCCTTTTGAATGGTTATATATGCACGGCATTACCAGAGTCACTGCCTTCCCGGTGAACACAGAAACATTGTTAAAACGTTTTATAAGCGTTTCCATATGGTTACAAAAACATTCAATAAAACGTTTTAAAAACATATATTTGTGGAGGTTTTGTTTACGTTTGCGGGAAATCCAATACCTTGTGACATTTTGAAAACGTGTCCATATGGTTGCACGAACGTTTCATTTACATTTTTAAATCGTTACAAGAGTCACTGCCCTGTTTGTTGTATCATTAACTCAGCAGCGTTATCAGATGAACACTTTGTGGACGTGGTATCGGAACTATGATGTCATCATCAGTGACACTCATTGTAGTATGTAGACCAGCAATTGACTTTCTAGTAGTTGATTGTTTCAGTCATCTACGTCTTGTTCCTGCCTGGTCAGTTACAGCTTAACTTGAACTTAACAGAATATGTTGCTCACCTGTTCCACAGCGAGCTGTGGGGATCAGCACGCCAGCAGCCAGCACGAGTAGCACCAGCGTATACATAGGTGTGTATTGCAGATGTCGCTCCCTCCCGTCTCAGTCCCACTGACGCTGGTCGTCCTGTTACTGCCAGTATATGCACTACGACAACAGTAATTGTACACACGGACCCACACAGAGTTGTGTACTTGACAATACAGTGACAGGTTTATTTAACACAAAGAATGGCCATGCCACAAGCGGAAGGAAAACCTCGTCTCTGTTGACACCAATACAATGACATTTAAAGCAACTTGTGTACCAAAAACACACTTGTTTCAAATATCAAATTGAATTGAGAGGCAATAGGCGCTTGGCTGGAACAGGAATATATTTATATATACAATCATATCTATGATGTTCCCGGACCAGTTATAACTTATCCATCTATCCATTAACATGATCAATGGCTATTCAGATTTTGATAAGGATCACCGCTACGTTGAAATGATGAAACCTATCTCCTTGTCTACGCCACATTCGATCTGTGAAGTCCAGACAGTGTCTAGTTTCAGCGTGAAAAGAACTGGAACCCAGTCCTGGTCTGTCCAATTGATGTTCAGCCCAATTCAAGCATGCCTGCCTGTGATAGTGGGATGCATGCAATTAAGGTCCTATAGGGGTGACCCATTCATTGTGAACCGGGATTTCTCAATCATCACTTCTTGGATGATTTTTTGATATCATGAAATCTTGATCCTTAGCAAAGTTTGAGCATAGTGATATGTCACGTATACAAACCTGCTGTACATCAGGCAAACACAGACCGCCTGGGAGACAGATAGAGAGATTATAAGAGGTTTTAGCTAAAGCTCCAGGCATATGGATAAGGTGACATCGTTCAATAAGAGTCACAAAACTTAAAATACCGTTTCATCTGTTTCATGTTTTGATCTATACATACGAGTGACAAAGACTATCCACAAGAGTGTATGACAAGAAGGATGATTTCATTTTTTTCCAATAGTCAACTTTACCACGGAATTCACCACGGTGGTAGGACGCCTCTCGTGCATATGGCAAGTACATTGACAGGCTTAATCCTACAGCCTTACGTTCTTCCTCACGTCAACGTCAAGTAGGACAACGCTCGACCGCATATTGCACGTGTTTGTCAGATCTTCTTATAGCACAGCAACATCCAGACATTACCTTGGGCAGCCCGGTCCCCGATTGAGCATCTGTGGGACGAGTTGGATCGACGCGTTCGCAGAAGGAATCCACCGCCCCAAACACTTCCGTCGCTTCTTGATGCACTTCAGAATGAATGGCAGCACATCCAACAGCGTGTTATTGACAACTTGATTGCATCTATGGGTCGTCTGTGTCAAGCGGCGATTGATGCACGTGGTGGGCACAACCGATACTGACATTGTCCGTACCCCTGTGACATTAACTGTATCGTGTACGTGTGTCTGTCTAGGTGACACGATTAATGTTTTGAACATTGTGTACATTGATCTTCAAACAGTGTTTCAATTATGGTTTCTGTGTCCTATTTTGAAACAATCGCATTATATTACGTTTTGAAAGTCAGTGTCAAGTTTCTTTTTTTGGAGAGTATATATTGATATGCTAGAACGGTGTGTAAACTTCCGGTCCGGTATACCGCGGACTGTGATAGAATGTTATGGAAATGTCTTTAATGTTCTAGTGCCGATGGACTGTTGAGGGCACGGTGTGCAACATTTCAGTGGATGAGAAGGTTTCATATAAGGGGACAATAGCGTGAGTATTTCTCACGCATTTTCATCACATGGCAACCAACTTTCATGTGAGGATCGCTTATCATCCCTGATTCCCTGCCTAGCCCATCACGGAAGCTTAACCACTGTCGCCGCTGGGTTAATATATGTTATAATTTTATGACTTTTGCTATCACCACTGTATTGTTATATTTGATACTGTCTGCTGCCATCATATATATACAATGTAATATTTTACTACCACTCTATTGTGTACTGCCATTGTAATTGGTGTGGCAGTAATGTGTATTGATTTGTAAAACTAGTTATTTTTTGTAATACATTTGTTGATTGTATACCGCTTTTTTTCTTTTTTTTTGGTTTCGAACGAAACAATGACAGATGTAATTTCCTTTCTTTTTTTTTTATCGTGCCTTATTTCCCGTGTTTGTTAGGGTGAACAATTAACTTGCCTTTGCATGTGTTTGTGGCGGGTACCGTTGGTGGTGCAGTATAAGTTCATCTTATCGCAAACACCTGGTATTTACTGTTTGAAACAATGCGAAGTACATGGCATGGATCTTCACTATATAAATATAACACAACGCCAGAGAATCAACAGGGGTATTCAATGTATCACTGAAAAACTCCAGTGATGACACCAAGTGTTTTTAAAAACATGGGGTTTAGTCTAAAACGAAATAATGATCAGACACCAGGTGTTTTAATGCAATTTGCTATTAAACCGCAATGGGACCTGCAATACACGCGTACGGGGTGTTTACAGGACAGAGTTCACAGGAGGAAAGTGTTGGCAGTACATGTACATGTGTACATTGTCTCGTATCGTGTACACACACATATTTTGTCAGTAATACTTAAATGTGAAAAGAATGGGTTATATATTCTACATGAGGTCGTTTTAGTTAACCATGAAAATCTACTGCCTGACCTATGTTATCTACACGAGGAAATTTGTCTGTACATTTGCATGTGAAAGCGGATGAGGAAAAACGAGTAGTTCGTTCATAACAATCCACGCTAGGTTATCCTTGTTGTATGAAGGCATACAATGCTTCAATACGACACCTAGGCCAATACGGCTAATACACCATGATTCTAAAATTACTTTTGAGCAATGTGGTAATGAGTTTTTTCAGTATCACAAGTCGCTTAGTCGCCTTAGTTGATGGTTCATATTTGAGAATTTACATGCTAAATCAGTATTTAAAAAATTAAAATTATAGTATTCACAATGATCTCACATTTCTCTTCAACACTTGTGCATTTAGAAGCTAAATTGTATTAAGTATGTATATGATGGCAGCCATACTGGATTTGTAGGTCACGTGATCACCAGCGGAATAATTTGGCTTGGTGTCTCTGTAATAATTTACTTCTTACTGATTGAGCAACCATTGTACTTAATGGCATATGGGATATTGGGGTAAGTAAGGGGTGTTTACGAGCTAGAGCTTGGTTTTGGGGGCTGATGTTTTGGTTTATTAAGTTTTGGATGAGAGGGTTGAATTCGTTTAATACCCCGACTACTGTATTGTTTCACTAAAAGGTACCCCGATGTTGTTTTGTAATACTTTCGGGTATTTCTTGCATTCAGAATCTCCTCCTCCTCCTCCTCCTCCTCCTCCTCCTCCTCCTCCTCCTCAAGCTCCCTCTCCGCCTTCTCCACCTCCTTCTCTTCCTCCTCCACCTCTTTCTCCTCCTCAACCTCCACCTCCTCTTCCTCCACCTCCTTCTCCTCCTCCTCCTTATCCACCTCCTCCTCCTCCTTCTCCTCCTCCTCCTCCTCATCCACCTCTTTCTCCTCCTCCTTCTCCTCCTCCTCCACTTTCTTCTCCTCCTCCTCCACTCCACATCCCTCTCCTCCTCCTCCACCTCAACCTCCTTCTGCTCCTCCTCAACCCCAAAATCCCTCTCCTCTTCCTCCTCTTTCTCCCTTTCCTCCACCACCTCCTCCTCCTCCACCTCCTCCTTCTCCTCCTCCACCTCTTTCTCCTCCTCCACCTCAACCTCCTTCTGCTCCTCCTCAACCTCAAAATCCCTCTCCTCTTCCTCCTCTTTCTCCCTTTCCTCCTCCACCTCCTCCCCCTCCTCCACCTCCTCCTTCTCCTCCTCAACCTCTTTCTCCTCCTCCTCCTCCACCTCTTTCTCCTCCTCCACCTCAATCTCCTTCTGCTCCTCCTCAACATCAAAATCCCTCTCCTCCTCCTCTACCTCCTCCTTCTCCTCCTCAACCTCATTCTCCTCCACCTCCACCTCATTCTCCTCCTCCTCCACCTCTTTCTCCTCCTCCACGTCAATCTCCTTCTGCTCCTCCTCAACCTCAAAATCCCTCTCTTCCTCCTCTACCTCCTCCTTCTCCTCCTCAACCTCATTCTCCTCCACCTCCACCTCATTCTCCTCCTCCACCACCTTCTCCTCCTGTTCCCTCACCTCCTTCTCCTCCAACTCCACCTCATTCTCCTCCTCCTCACCACCTTCTCCTGCTCCTCCCCAACCTCCTGCTCCTCCACCTCCACATTATTCTCCTCCTCCACCTCCTCCCTCACCTCCTTCTCCTCCACCTCCTCCTTCTCCTTCTCCTCTTCCTCCATCTCCTTCTCATCCTCTACCTCCTCCTTCTCCTCCTCCACCTCCTCCACCACCTTCTCCTCCTCCCTCACCTCCTTCTCCTCCTCCTCCACCTCCTTCTCCTCCTACAGCACCTTCTCCTCCTACAGCACCTCCTTCTCCTCCACCTCCTCCTTCTCCTTCTCCTCTTCCTCCACCTCCTCCACCACCTTCTCCTCCCTCACCTCCTTCTCCTCCACCTCCTCCTTCTCCTCTTCCTCCACCTCCTCCTTCTCATCCTCTACCTCCTCCTTCTCCTCCTCCACTCCTCCTTCTCCTCCTGCTCCACCTCATTCTCCTCTTCCTTCTCCTTCTCCTCCTGATCCTCCTCCACCTCTTTCTCCTCCTCCACCTCCTTCTTCTCCTCCACACCTCCCTCACCTCCTCCAGCTCCTCCTTCTCCTCCTCCCTCCCCTCCTTCTCCTCCTCCTCCACCTCCTCCTTCTCCTCCCCCACCTCTTTCTCCTCCACCACCTCCTCCAGCTCCTCATTCTCCTCCTCCCTCACCTCATTCTCCTCCACCTCCACCTCCTCCTCCTTCTCCTCCACCTCCTTCTCCTCCTCCTTCTCCTCCTCGAGCGGTTTTACATTTTCAACCGAAACCTCGGAGTCGTGTATCAACTATTACAGTATATTCAGGGTGATCGAAATTGCTTCCGTTGTTTGAACAGGAATAGTGTTATTACTCATGTCGCGGGTCCTTGCCGACGATGAAACTGAGTGGACTGAGGCGGTGAAGATGGTTTAAAAGGGTTTATTATCTGTAAGAAGATATAATAGCATCAATATGAATTGAAGTTTAGTCGGGGGCGCAAGAAGGTCTTTTCTCGGCTATGGCGTGACAAAAAGTCTTAGAAAATACAAATATTTAGCATATAACAATGTTATGTTATCGTAATATAT